TTGACAGTATCAACAATTCCACATTGAACAATGCATGGCGATGAATTATGGCCACGACATCTGTTTTGGTGAGTAGGCCTATGCTCAATGATTCTGATGTAAATGAGGCTGCAATAAAAAATAATGGGACTGTAGCGACTGTGTTGGCACAAAATCCGGTGTGCGAACTAAGTTTCAGTTATTTCAGTCGCTGTAGTAGCTGAAGTGTATAGTGTTGAGTCATCCGCATACATAGCTTTACATAAAGCCAGTGGCATGTCGTTAGTACAGATGGAAACAAGTAAGGGGCCTAAACAGCTGCCCTGGGGAATTCCTGATTCTACCTCGATTATGCTGGACAGGCTTCCATTAAAGAACACCCTCTGTGTTCTGTTAGACAGGTAACTCTTTATCCACATTATAGCAGGGGGTGTAAATATAACACATATGTTTTTCCAACAGCAGACTATGATCGATAATGTCAAAAGCCGCACTGAAGTCTAACAAAACAGCCCTCACAATCTTTTTATCATCAATTTCTCTCAGCCAATCATCAGTCATTTGTGTAAGTGCTGTGCTTGTTGAATGTCCTTCTCTATAAGCATGCTGAAAGTCTGTTGTTAATTTGTTTACAGTAAAATAGCATTGTATCTGGTCAAACACCATTTCTTTCAAAAGTTTACTAAGGGTTGGTAACAGGCTGATTGGTCGGTTATTTGAGCCAGTAAAGGGGGCTTTACTATTCTTAGGTAGCGGAATGACTTTTGCTTCCCTCCAGACCTGAGGGCACACACTTTCTAGTAGACTTAAATTGAAAATATGGCAAATAGGAGTGGCAATATAATCTGCTATTATCCTTAGTAATTTTCCATCCAAGTTGTCAGACGCCGGTGGCTTGATATGTACATGAAGGTAGGGTAAAGTGACTAGGCATCAGGATAGATAATAATAAGATATTTGAGGTAGATATGTACATGAAGGCAGGGTAAAGTGACTAAGCATCAGGATAGATAATAATAAGATATTTGAGGTAGATATGTACATGAAGGCAGGGTAAAGTGACCAGGCATCAGGATAGATAATAATAAGATATTTGAGGTAGATATGTACTTGAAGGCAGGGTAAAGTGATCAGGCATCAGGATAGATAATAATTAGATATTTGAGGTAGATATGTACTTGAAGGCAGGGTAAAGTGACCAGGCATCAGGATAGATAATAATAAGATATTTGAGGTACATATGTACTTGAAGGCAGGGTAAAGTGACCAGGCATCAGGATAGATAATAATAAGATATTTGAGGTATATATGTACTTGAAGGCAGGGTAAAGTGACTAAGCATCAGCATAGATAATAATAAGATATTTGAGGTAGATATGTACATGAAGGCAGGGTAAAGTGACTAAGCATCAGGATAGATAATAATAAGGTATTTGAGGTAGATATGTACATGAAGGCAGGGTAAAGTGACTAGGCATCAGGATAGATAATAATAAGGTATTTGAGGTAGATATGTACATGAAGGCAGGGTAAAGTGACTAGGCATCAGGATAGATAATAATAAGAGCAAAATAAAGAACAGAGTAGCAGCAGCAAATTATGAGTGTGAAAGTGTGTGCGTGTGTGGTGTCGGTTATATGTGTGTGCGTATGTAGTGCAAGTGAATGTGTGTGGGTTTTGTGTGTGTGTCAGTGTAGTGTGTGTATATAGAGTATACACTGAGTGTACAAAACATCAGACTGACCAGGTGAATCCAGGTGAGCGCCATCACCCCTTATTGATGTCACTTGTTAAATCCACTTCAATCAGTGTAGATGAAGGGGAGGAGACAGGTTAAATAAGGATTTTTAAGCCTTGAGACAATTGAGACATGGATTGTGTATGTGTGCCATTCAGAGGGTGAATGGGCAAGACAAAAGATTTAAGAGCCTTTGAACAGGGTATGGTAGTAGGTGCCAGGTGCACCGGTTTGAGTGTGTCAAGAACTACACCACTGCTGGGTTTTTCACGCTCAACAGTTTCCCGTGTGTGTCAAGAATGGTCCACCACCCAAAGGACATCCAGCCAACTTGACTCAACTGTGGGAAGCATTGGAGTCAACATGGGGCCAGCATACCTGTGGAACGCTTTCGACACCTTGTAGAGTCCAGGCCCCGACGACTTGACACTGTTCTGAGGGGGTGTTTTGTACACTTAGCGTGTGTGATAATAGTATGAAGTTTCTGTATTTAAAAAAAGTCAAAACACACACACACACACACACCCTAACAGAGGCTGATACACAAACAAAAGGACACATACACAACTGGTCTCAGCGATACTAGTGGCAATGACAATCTTCCTGACTCCTGGAGAGGGCTTTTTGAACTCCAGTCAGAACAGACAGCCTCACTCCCTGGGTTATTCATGTTCTGCTCTGGGAGAAAGGAGTGTTTCTGAGTCCATACCTGATTGAACATCTGCTGGGTCATCAGGAGGTCGTTGAGGCCACTGATATTGTCCCAACCTGGCAGGAACACCAAGATGGCTCCTTCCTGGAACACAAGGACAGGTAACACACGTATCAGCACACACTCAGGCAACACACACATATCATTAAGGTAACACACATGCTAAGGTCTATTCGACGCTGGTCTGACCAATCGGAATCCATGCTTCAAGATTGTTTTGATCACGCGGACTGGGATATGTTCCGGGTATCCTCTGAGAATAACATTGACCTGTACACGGACACGGTGACTGAGTTCATAGGGGATTTTGTTCCCACTGTGACTATTAAAACCTACCCAAACCAGAAACTGTGGATAGATGGCAGCATTCGCACAAAACTGAAAGTGCGAAGCATTGCATTTAACCATGGCAAGGTGACTGGGAATATGGTTGAATACAAACAGTGTAGTTATTCCCTCTGTAAGGCAATCAAACAGGCCAAACGTCAGTACAGAGAAAAAGTGGAGTCGCAATTCAACGGCTCAGACACGAGACGTATGTGACAGGGTCTACAGACAATCACGGATTACAAAGGGAAAACCAGCCATGTTGCGGACACCGACGTCTTGCTCCTGGACAATCTAAACACCATCTTCGCTCGCTTTGACGATAACACAGTGCCGGCCCAGACGACATCCCTTGCCGCGTCCTCAGAGTATGCACAGACCAGCTGGCTGGAGTGTTTAAGGACATATAAAATCTCTCCCTATCCCAGTCTGCTGTCCCCACTTGCTTCAAGATGTCCACCATTGTTCCTGAACCCAAGAAAGTGATTGAACTAAATGACTATCGGCCCGTAGCACTCATTCTGTCGTCATGAAGTGCTTTGAGAGGCTAGTTAAGGATCATATCACCTCTACCTTACCTGTCACCCTAGACCCACTTCAATTTGCTTACCGCCCCAATAGATCAACAGACGATGCAATCGCCATCACACTGCACCTTGATGTATCCCATCTGGACAAAAGGAATACCTATGTAAGAATGCTGTTCATAGACTATAGCTCAGCATTCAACACCATAGTACCCTCAAAGCTCATCATTTAAGCTTGGTGCCCTGGGTCTCAACCCCGCCCAGTGCAACTGGGTCCTGGACTTCCTGATGGGCCGCCCCCAGGTAGTGTAGGTAGGAAACAACACCTCCACTATGCTAATCCTCAACACAGGGGCCCCACAAGGGTGCGTGCTTAGCCCCCTCCTGTACTCCCTGTTCACCCATGACTGCATGGCCAAGCACGCCTCCAACTCAATCACCAAGTTTGCAGATGACACAACAGTAGTAGGGCTGATTACCAACAATGACGAGACAGCCTACAGGGAGGTGGTGAGGGCCCTGGCAGAGTGGTGCCAGGAAAATAACCTCTCCCTCAACATCAAAACAAAACGAAGGAGCTGATCGTGGACTTCAGGAAACAGCAGAGGGAGCACGCCCCTATCCACATCGACGGGACCACAGTGGAGAATGTAAAAAGTTTCAAGTTCCTCGGAGTACACATCACTGACAATCTGAAATGGTCCACCCACACAGACAGTGTGGTGAAGAAGGCGCAACAGCACCTCTTCAACCTCAGGAGGCTGAAGAAATTTGGCTTGGCCCCTAAGACCCTCACAAACGTTTACAGATGCACAATTGAGAGCATCCTGTCGGGCTGTATCACCGCCTGGTTCGGCAACTGCACCACCCGCAACCGCAGGGGTCTCCAGAGGGTGGTGTGGTCTGCCCAACGCATCACCGGGGGCACACTGCCTGCCCTCCAGGACACCTACAGCACCCGATGTCACAGGAAGGCCAAAAACATCATCAAGGACATCAACCACCCGAGCCACAGCCTGTTCACCCCGCTATCATCCAGAAGACCAGGTCAGTACAGGTGCATCATAGCTGGGACTGAAAGACTGAAAAACAGCTTCTATCTCAAGGCCATCAGACTGTTAAATAGCCATCACTAGCCGACCTCCACCCAGTACCCTGACCTGAACTTAGTCACATTCACTAGCCGGCTACCACCCGGTTACTCAATCCTGCACCTTAGAGGCTGCTGCCCTATATACATAGACATGGAAACACTGGCCACTTTAATAATGGAACACTAGTCACTTTAATAATGTTTACATACTGCTTTACTCATCTCAAATGTATATACTGTATTATATTGTACTGTATTTTAGTCAATGCCACTCCGACATTGCTCGTCCTAATATTTATATATTTCTTAATTCCATTCTTTTACTTTTAGATTTGTGTGTATTGTTGTGAATTGTTAGATACTACTGCATTGTTGGAGCTCGGAACACAAGCATGTCGCTACACCTGCAATAACATCTGCTACATATGTGACCAATAAAATTTGATTTGATTACTTTCACCTCCTCCCTCCATCTCCAACCATCTCCCTTCCTCCTTTCACATCCTTCCCTCTCCTTCCCTTCTTTCACCTCCTTCCGTCTCCCTCCCTCCTTTCACCTCCCTACGCCTCCCTCCTTTCACCTCCCTCCGTCTCCCTCTGTCTCCCTCCCTGTGACCAATACATCTTGATTTGATTTGATTTGATTTCGATTTCAACACGCTCAGGCAACACACATCACAGCTTTTTCAGTCAGAAACGAACAGACAGGTCCTTAGTAAACTAACAGGACCTGAATCCTACCATTTTCACAAACATTCCCACTTTGTCATCTCAGCCAAGCCAGGGGCAGACAAAAGCTCTCTCTCCCTTTGCTCGGAGTAACCACACAAAGCCTGCTGCACACTGACTACACAGTCAAATGAGCTAATTACACAACATAAGCGTTTTGGAATGAATAAAAGCCTAATTTGCTCAAAAGGGAACGAAAAGGTAATCAGTCACCTAAAAACCCAGAGCCACCCAGAGACAAAGCTGAGCTAACCACAATCCACACTAAGCTGGTTAATGGGTTCAGAGGAGAATAGTGCCCATGTTAGCATTAGTTTAGCTTTAGATTCAACGGTGGTGTTAGCATTAGTTAGGCTGCGTTTACACAGGCAGCCCAATTCTGATATTTATTCACTAATTGGTCTCTTGACCAATCAGATCAGCTCTTTTGCCAATAATTGGGCAAAAGATCAGAATTGGGCTGCCTGTGTAAACGCAGCCTAAAAGTGTACAGGTAGGTAGTTTGCTTAGTTGGCGTGTGTCTAGGGTAGTCGTGTTAGCATCAGGGTTTGGGGCGATGTCATTATGATCCTGTTGAATTCATGAAAAGTAGCCCATTATTATGATTTGTGAACAGAATCTGGTACCGGAGTGGACAGAAAGGAGACAGTGAGAGGCCAAGCCATGACACCCACCATCTCAGATGGTTCTCAAAGCGTTTCTGTACTTAGAAACAGATTAGATTAGCATTCCTGAAACATTATTTTGTTCAAATGTAATTTGATCTCTGAGAAATTAAGCTAATTGATTGCAGCCAAATTGGCCATTTGAATTTATAGGATTCATATAATCTTCAATAAAGATAGTACCTAACATCTGATTTGAACCGTAATTATTTCTAACATTTGAGTAAGACAAAATGCTCAAAAGCCACCCACGGACCCCCCACACCAATCCCAACCCAACAACCAGTATACAGTATCAGTTCTCTATGTTTGAGTAGTATAAAGATGTGGTTTGGAGTATTGCGTCTTCATCCTTTATAATGTATTTCCTGTGAATGTTTTTGTTTTTTTTTGTTTCGAGAAATTAGCCATTATTTACCATAAATGAGTGTGAAAGTACCATGTTTTGCCCACTAGATGCCACTGTTCCTGCGACTGCCACCACACCCTTTTATCCATTTTGCTGGTCTCTTGTGTTTATTAAATGGATCACAACACTTTCTTTGCAACTTTGGGTAGAAAACCAATAGCTTTTACTCATGATGAAAATAAATTGTGTGGTCAGTTGTGTGGTCAAGCCAGTCCTCCATGAAAGCAATTTAGTTTGTCCTTCTCTTAGCAACCTAATGCTTCAACCCAACTCTCCTTGAATAGTCCAACAAATGGCAGGTTTCTGACAGGGCTATCCGTATGGTGCAATTATCATATAAAGACTTTTCCTACAAGCCCAAAATTTGATAGAGAAATGGGCTAGTGACTAAAATGTTGTGACAACTCTAATAAAATAGTAGAATTAAAAACCATTGCATGGCAGTCGTATTATTATTATTATTATTATTATTATTATTAGAAAACATCTCTATATGTAGTGTGATTAGTGACATTTACTATTAAACCCAACCCAGCCCAATACCATTACAAAACACTATGCAGTGTGTGTTTGGTACTTTAACCATTGAAGACCATTAAAGAACATGACATTGAAACCATTAGAACTGTGCTCGTTCGGCAGGAATGGTTGAACTAATCCAGACCTTTTTTTAAGGGAATAAAACACACACAGACGGGTCGTTTCCTGGTGACAAATTAAGTCTAAGAGAAGGACAAACTCAATTGTTTTCATGGAGAACTGGCTTGAATTGTGACGATGACCACACCATTTTTTTTCATATCATGAGTAAAAGCTATTGGTTTTCTACCCAAAGTTGCAAATAAAATGTGATCCATTTAATAAACACAAGACACCAGTAAAATCGATTAAAGGGTGTGGTGGCAGTAGCAGAAACAGTGGCATCTAGTGGGCAAAACGTTGTACTTTCACACTCATTTATGGTAAATGCAAGCGACTTCAATGGCTAGTCTCTCTGAACAGGGGAAAAAACTCCACCAGATTCACAGGTTATTAATTACATATGATGAAGAAGCAATACTCCAAGCAGCAGCTCGGATGTTAGGTACTATATTTATTGAAGATTATATGAATCCTATAAATTAAAATGGCCAATTTGAGATTAAATTATTCAACAAAAGAATGTTTCAGGAATGCTAATCTTATCGGTTTCTAACTACAGAAATGATTTAAGAACAATCAGATGGTGGGTGTCAATCTTATTTCTTGTGCTTTTTGAGGTGGTATGACTGATGTGATGGAGAAGCTTCAGGGTTCATCACCTGAGCTGACTGAATGGAGATAGTGTCGTGATGGAGCAGCTTCAGGGGCCGTTGTTCCCAGAGCTCTCTGATTAATGCTAATTCATCCTAAACCTCAACCACACAGACCCAGGAGGGACACATGATTCAGGGAATACGCCATGACACACACACACACACAGTCTGTAAAATAGCCGATTGGGTCATTTCTACATTTCATTTCTACTGTCCAGTGCCTTTTGGATCTCATAACTTTTGGAGGGAAAAACAATATATTTAGATTTTTAAAAAAACATATTCTAATAGAAAAAGGACATGTTTTACTTTTTTTGTTGTTACATTGGTCAAGCGCTTACTTTTTTGCAGGTGCATTTTAACCTGTTAGGTGCATTTTAACCTGTTAGGTACATTTTCCAACCTGTTAGGTGCATAATCCTAACACAGTGGACATTTAGAGCCTAAATTAGCCACAACTCTGTGAGTGAGCAAGATTTAGCTAGGATAATGAACACTTGAACATGATTTTAACTTCTCTATCAAACATATTTAAAATGTTTTACATTTGGTTAATTTTCTCTATAATTTCGCCTAAAAGGGTGGATATTTATGAATGGGTCAATGGGACATACAGACTAACAACATGAAACATGGAAAAATAGATCAAACTGAGTGTTTACATCTATTTAGCTTTGTATCGTTCATTGTTTTTCCACCAAAGAAATGACACTTCCTGAATGTGTTGTCACTGTAGAAAGGAATTGTTTTCTTAAACTCCCACACCAGTACTTAGATTTAAAATCCATCTTTAAGAAGAAAAAATGTAAAAAATAGGCGAGGGTTATGACTTTGTGGCTTTGGAAACTAGTGACGTCCCATCACTTGGTCGCCTTGCCATGGAGAAAATTAAAATAGAGGGTGCAAACTAATGTTTTTTCACCTCCCCTTTTGTATTATTATCATAATCCCATTGGATCATTTGTCAAGTTGCACTTATTTTTTAGCTAATCTGCAAAAAAATAAATAAAATGATTGCATTTTAGAACCCTGCTCCCCCCAAGATGAATGGTTTTGACCACCTCTCTCTCTCTCTCTCTCTCTCTCTCTCTCTCTCTCTCTCTCTCTCTCTCTCCATTAATTATGGTCTGTGATGTCGTCCCCATGGGTGTTTAATCACCGGGGCGAATGTCTTAATTAACCAATCACCACGGTCAGAACCCTGACAGCCGGCCCCTAGCCCCAACTAAGAACCCTGTCATGGCCAATCTACTTATTTTCCTCTCAGCTCTCTGACAATGTCACGACCAATCAGCCGGCTGGCTCCCTTCAGAGTCACGGTAGCTGACAGAGGTAGGGTTGCTGAATTTCAAATGGACCTATAGCCCAAACCTCTAGGCATTACAGTAAAGAGAAACTATTCTCTCTTCTCTTTACTTCTCTTCTCTTTACTCCTCTCTTTACGTCTCTTCTCTTTACTCCTCTCTTTACGTCTCTTCTCTTTACTTCTCTCTTTAAGTCACTTCTCTTTACTCCTCTCTTTACGTCTCTTCTCTTTACTTCTCCTCTCTTTACGTCTCTTCTCTTTACTCCTCTCTTTACGTCTCTTCTCTTTACTTCTCCTCTCTTTACGTCTCTTCTCTTTACTTCTCTCTTTACGTCTCTTCTCTTTACTTCTCCTCTCTTTACGTCTCTTCTCTTTACTTCTCTCTTTACGTCTCTACTCCTCTCTTTACGTCTCTTCTCTTTACTCCTCTCTTTATGTCTCTTCTCTTTACTCTTCTCTTTACGTCTCTTCTCTTTACTTCTCTCTTTACGTCTCTTCTCTTTACTTCTCTCTTTACGTCTCTTCTCTTTACTTCTCCTCTCTTTACGTCTCTTCTCTTTACTTCTCCTCTCTTTACGTCTCTTCTCTTTACTTCTCTCTTTACGTCTCTACTCCTCTCTTTACGTCTCTTCTCTTTACTCCTCTCTTTACGTCTCTTCTCTTTACTTCTCCTCTCTTTACATCTCTTCTCTTTACTTCTCTCTTTACGTCTCTACTCCTCTCTTTACGTCTCTTCTCTTTACTCCTCTCTTTATGTCTCTTCTCTTTACTTCTCTCTTTACGTCTCGTCTCTCCTTCTCTCTTTACGTCTCTTTACGTCTCTACTCCTCTCTTTACGTCTCTTCTCTTTACTTCTCTTCTCTCTACTCCTCTCTTTACGTCTCTACTTCTCTCTTTACGTCTCGTCTCTCCTTCTCTCTTTACGTCTCTTCTCCTCTCTTTACGTCTCTTCTCTTTACTTCTCTTCTCTCTACTCCTCTCTTTACGTCTCTACTTCTCTCTTTACGTCTCGTCTCTCCTTCTCTCTTTACGTCTCTTTTCCTCTCTTTACGTCTCTTCTCCTCTCTTTACATCTCTTCTTCTCTTTTTACGTCTCTTCTGTCTTTACATCTCTTCTCCTCTCTTTACTTCTCCTCTCCATGTTTCAACCACACAGCCCTTCTTCAAGTCTCCATGTTATCAAACACTGCTACTGGATAATGGTCCCATGTTGTAATATA